ACAAATAGTAAACATACAGAGAGTACTTCCTTATAATGAGTAGTATAATTACGTGGGAATATAATGTTGGCTTATTGGCGATGCCAAATAACACGAGCCAGTAACTGAGACAAAAGCAGACATTGAAAACCTCATAACGCATTTTTCGGAAAATGCACCTGGTTAAACGCGCTTTGAGGGGTTTTAAGGAGCAAAAACTGTCGTAATGGGAGAAGAATAAACGCAAGATGGAACCAGCCTGCTGCTGAGAATGTGTGTTGCAAGACAGGGATCCCATCATAGATATCCTCCATAAACTGACGGTCGCAGCCAGGAAGGTAATGTTGAGCTCACGAGATCGTGAGCGAATTGCGGAGATATAACTTTCATGCGCCCTTTCTTATTGCTGAGTCTGTTGAATGGTGACGAAGACAAAATTACCTGACATGGTCATCAAAAGTTCGTTTCGGGTCGACATAGGGGAGGTTAATGCATGAGTAATTAATTTGATGCAGCCCACAGTGTTTGAATTCCTACTTTATTGATTGCCCCTTGGCCCATTCTAGTGACCTTGCTGTTTTTTATCGCTTTTTCTATATGAATTCAATTCTGTATTTTTTCATTCGTTACTCAGTTTATGAAGCGAGTGGATGAGCGCTCGCGAAATTTATGGTTCCATTACATTCTGCTTCATACGAAATCTTCAAATTTGTACCTGGAAAAAGATGCTACAAATTTTAGAAAATAATACTATAAGAATGTGATTTTGTTTCGCATGTGGCCGGACTACAGAGGTGGGGTGCTGTTGTAGTGGACATTACAATACCAATCCAGTTTTCTCTTAAAGCTTCAACGGAAGCGGACATAACAGCATCCAGGGGCAGAGCATTCCAAGCATCGGCCACTCTGCTGCAAAAGAAGAACTTCCGTGTGCCCAGCCTGGCTCCAGTCACACGCAGTTTCAACTAGTCACCGCTCAACTTCATATATTGTTGATAACTCGCCGAACTCCCCAGGTAGAGAGCAGCAATCCTGAGCGCTCATGATACGGAATTTTGCATCAGGTCACCTCGTCACTGTCTGTAACTCGAAGGAAATAGATCAGGGTTAGACAAGCGTGTTTCATAAGGTAGTGAGCTTTGTCCAGTCACAAGTTTCGTTGCAAGCCTTTGAAGTTTCCGAGGATCCTGAGATCTTTCGCGGTCCATTGTTTTAAGGTTTGGATAGCAAACTCTAGTTGCTGCCGCACAATGGTCCCAAAGACTTTAGCGAAACAGTCCTCACCAA